TTTTTTTTTTTTGTGTGTGTTTTGATGCAACCACCTTTACCTTCTGAACATTGGCCAGTTTTATTTTGAGTTATGCGTTATGGTCCCACTTGGAAGGATACAAGTCAGTAGGAGTTTCCTTTTTTACCGGCCTATAAATGTAGACATAGAAGTAAAGCTTCCTAAGTTTTTTCAGTGGCTGTTGATGGCTGGAAACCATGTATTGGTTGCTTTGACACATGGCTGTACCTTATGGAAAGTAATGTGGATGTGTTAAGAACTTTTGGAAAGTAACAAACCCCTCACAATATCTTCACCTTTCCACTGTAGTAATCCTGTAAGAAAAGAATACTCCCTCCGTCTTCTAACCGTTTTCGGATAGAAAACAGAGGTAGTATTTTTTTTTTCTTACAGCATTCCACTACGATATGCTTTTTTTTATTTATTATTTTTCTCTTACAACATTTCTCTACTTAAATTACTGTATTTTTTTCCTTACAAACATCCCACTACTTTCATTCATTTTCTTGGTGTTTGTAACAAGTGGATGGTAACAACCTTTGTGAAAGGGAGAGAGTTGCTAATAATTTTACTACAGCTCATAGTTTCATGTTGTTCATTTTTTAAAAAATATTATTCTTCTATCTGTCCCTCTTTCTTCATGTATGCTTAAAATTTTTCAGGATGATGGTGATGAGATAACTTGGCAAACTTACAAAGGAGAACTCACTGAAAAGCAACAAAAAACTCGGGAGAAAGTCTTGAAGAGAATGGAAAAGGTTCGACATGCAGATAAAATTTTCTGGTTTCATTCCCATGTCAATTACTTGGATTTTTTTTGCAGGCACTATATTGCTTTACTTTTATGTTCTGTTAATGAGGGTGGTAGGGAGAAATAGCCTCAGCATGCGCAATATGATAATTATCCTGGAAATTTGCATCTCAAACCTTTATGAATCATATATTGCTTTTTTTTGTTGACCCTTTTCTGCAATGGAGGTTCTATGGCGTGAGTAAAGAATGAGAAATATCCCTGTCGTGTTAATTGTTTTACTACCTTCTTTGTAGATTGCACATATGAAGAAAGAGATGGCTGCAATCCGTGCTAAAGACATATCCCAAGGAGGGTTGACTCAGGGACAACAAACTCAGATTGCTCGGAATGAGCAAAGGATATCACAGGTTTGACAAACATTTCTTGCTGAATATATGTTTCAGATTTTCTTAACTCTTGGTCAATTGGAAAAAATATTCTCTATATATAGATACCAGTGGTATTCAAGAGTTTTCTTTGGAACTTATTTTCGTTCTACTTTTCACAGATACTGGAGGAGCTCGAGAGTTTGGAAGAAACATTAAATGACAGTATTCGGGAAAGTATGGGAGCACGTTCTGGGAAGTCATCTCGTGGGAAGCACAAGGGATTTGCCGAAGATGAGGATGAGCTTATGAGGTAAATATTCTTGAGGTGATTTGAGTCAACTGTGTTGCACACTAACGTTAGAGATTTAGTTCAATTTTTTTAAACGGAAATGAACTTATGGCTGATGATTTCTTACAAATTTTGAACGTGTAGTGATGATGATGAATTTTATGACCGAACAAAGAAGAAATCTGCTAACAAATCGGCCGATGCACAATCAGTTGAGACAGCTGATTCTCTTTTGGATAAGAAAGAGGCGTTGCTAAATGAAATTGATGAGAAAAACAAATTGCTTCTGGAAGAGAAGAACAAGGTATTGGAACCTGTGGTTGAACAAGATACGGGGGATGTGCTTGATGCCTATATGTCTGGTCTCTCAACTCAGCTTGGTAAGTTTTCTTTTCTTGATATTCTCTGAAGGCATATTTGATATATTTTTAAAAGGGCTGATGTCACTGTCTCTCTGAATGCAACCACTAAGTAAACAAAATGATAATTATATTGGTCACCTACTGACCTTTTTTTAACTCATGGATGATTAAGGAAATGCTGAATTTTTGCAAATCAAATTATAGTGTTATTAAGTTGTTTTGGCATGCTTATGTGGTATTCAATATTAGTTGTTGGACATGGTTAATGGCAGTTCGGGTCAAGGTAATTGTCGGTCAATAAAAGTTTGGGTCATTAAAGGGTTTGCTTTATAATGGATAAGATTGGTGGGCCAAAGTAGGTTAATAGCAGGTTGATAGTGGGTGGGCGGGCCAATAATTGAGCAAGGAAAAATTAAGTTTGGGAGAGAAAATAATTAAGTGAACTTGAAACCGTACATTTTTTTAATACTGATCATAACTATTTTCTTTTCCAAAATCATTGGGCTACCATTTTGACACTGAGTCGCTGTCCAACTGAAGGCCTTTAACTTGACACTAAATCTATACCTATTGGGTTGCCCTGCCCATTTACCAGGTCTATTTGTAAGAACTAGAAAAATGCAGTAGGGAGGGGTTTCCATGATGCATCTTAGTTATCTGTAACCCTATAGAACCATGATGACGTTTTGCATTGTGGCAACACCTGTAAAATTCTCAGAATGCAAATTCTCATGATGCATAATTGTACACGAAGAAGGCCATGGTTATATTGAATTAATTTGTTATGTAGAAGCAAGTTGACTACAAACTGTCTTACTTCAGTGTTACTTTTTTTTTTTTTTTTTTCAACCTTGCTGACGGTTTGTATTAATGTTTAGTTATTGATAAGACTGTGCAAGTTGAGAAGGATATATCTTCCCTCCAGAAAGAATTGGATAGGATAGTTTACCTGCTGAAGATAGCTGACCCTACTGGAGAAACTGCTAAGAAACGGGCAACAGCACCCAAGGAGCTTAAGTCTAAAGAATCTGCATCTTCTAGTTCTGCTGTTAAGAAACCTGAGAAATCCAAAGTTGGGCAAAGTAGTGTCAGTCAGCCTGAAAAGCCAGTTAGTAGTTCTGTAGATCAAGTAGCTCCTGGTGTGATTAAAGAAGTTAGCGAGGCATCATATTCCAAAGAGAATGTAACCGATGCAACAGAAAATAAACCAACTACTTATAAAATTGTAAAGCCTCAATGGCTTGGTGCAGTGGAGGCCAGGGATAGTAAAGAGAGCCAACTAGAGAAACGATCCGACACCGATGATGGTGATGAGGGTGATGAGACTGATGGCTTTATTGATTATAAAGAGAGGAAGAAGATTTTAGAAACTGATTCTGAACCTAGAAAGAAGCCAGAGTCTGATTTGGAAAGTGCTGCCCCTGGTCTTATATTGCGGAATAAGAAGCCAGCTGAAGTGAGTGAGGGACCTGAGGGTCAAATGTCAAACCCATCAATTTCTGAACCCACAGGGACTGATATGAATGTGGAAAATGCTGTTGCTCTACTGTTGAAACACAAACGAGGAATCTATACAGGGGAGGAAGAAGCAGACCTCAAAAGCCATGGCAGAAAAGCTCAGAAGAAATCTGGGCAAGATAATAAAAGGGCTAAAAGGGTGCTAGGCCCTGAAAAACCTGCTTTTCTGGAGAAACTTCCAGAGTCGGACTATGATACATGGATTCCTCCAGAAGGTTAGCTATATATCTATAGTCACTGTTGATTTCATATCTATTGACGGTTGTTTGTGCTGATTGTGTTTCTAATGCCTTCTGCAGGACAATCAGGTGATGGCCGAACATCACTGAATGATCGACTAGGGTATTGACACTTTGACAGACATATTTGCACAATTTTAGTATCAGTTTTGTCTTATCATAATTGACCTGGAGAAGTGGAGAGATTTAGATTCATAATCAGATACTTGAGCATCTTGATCTTGCCACCATTTTCTTACAGCCTGGCCTATGATATGGATCTCCCTTTCGGACTAGCAATAGCTCCTCTACCAATGAATGGTTGGAGCAAAATACAGGATGCTATGTAATTTGCATGTTTCACATAGCTGCTCTGTGGCGTTCTGATGGCTGATGTTTGTCTTTTCTGCCTCTCAAAAGGCCCGCAACATGGAATGACTCCCTCCATTTTTTGAAGCTTTTGAACAAACAGGGATAAGTACATTATTGAGATAATCTAAGAGAATTTGGTTTGCTGAAACCAAGTTAATTTTTGTGCCACGCCCAATTTTTTGGTTGTGTGAGCAAGATGAGAGTGATGAAAGGGCTTATAGAAAACAGTTGACTGTATATCCTTGTAATCAGAGATTTAGAGCTTTGTTAACTATGAATATATACCCGTCAAAAAAATAAAAAAAAATGAATATATAATACGTAGTACAAACAAAATTTACTTTTTTTTTTTTTACAAAAAAAATTTCACTGTTTTTCTTTTTATTGTAACATGATTTCACAGATGAGCTTCATAAAGGACTATGTTTTTATAATTTCACTTTTACAAAAAAAAAAATCTTAGTAGTCGACTGTTAAGGAATAAAATATCCATATGCAAATATTATGAAGTACTCCGTATTAAATTAAGGTTGAATGTTTAAATTTAGGCCACAATTGGTTTACCTTACCTACAATTAGATTAATGACAGAGTAAGGGCATGTTCACTTAAGTTCAGTTCAGCTCAGATCAGTTTCTAATTTCCTTCTCTCTTTAATTATTCATTTTAGCTCTATTCAGTTCAATTCAGCTCCAATCAACTCAATGAACAGGCCCTAAGTTCCAATAATATAAGTTAAAATAGATCAAACAACTTTTTTTTTTTATTTTTTTTATTTTTTATCAAACAACTTACTTTAAGAGACTATATTAATTAAGACAAATCTCTTTCAAAAAAAAAAAAAAAAATTAAGACAAATCCAATAATATACAATTTTGATGAATATTTTACTTCTCTATCTTTATTCTCTAATCTCTAATGAAATCCCCGTTGAACATAAATATATAAAAAAAAATTAAAATAAAAAAATAAAAAAATGACTGCGTCTATCCTGACACGTGTGAAGCATAATTAAACCCACTTTATTACGGAGTATACACGTGCAGTGCTGCAATCATGTCTTCCTTTTCTTTTCGTTTCTTCTATTCTTTTCCTGAAAATTGCAATTGAATTTTTACAATAACTTTTTTTTTTTTTCCCTTTTTTCATAAAAAAAAAACTGTAATAAAAAAAATATATATTAAAAAAAAAGGGCGAACAACAAAAACTGGAGAGCACATCTGATTCGGTGATTCCAAGCAAACTACAGTTTCTGCTTCATCTCTCTCTTCCACAAACCCCACAACACAATTCCTCTTTAAAATTAAGGTAAATATTTCATTTTTGATAATTACTTTCAATTTCTGTTTTAATTTAATTGTTCACAATTCAATTCAATGAATCTAATTATAATTTTGGGAAGAAGCTCATTGATCTGGGTATATTAGTATTAGATGCCGGTATGATTGATGGGTAGTTTCTATTTTTTCTAGTAAAAATTGTGTCTTTATTTGATGGAATTCTATAATGCTATAGTATAAATTAATGGTGGTTCTTGTGAGCTTGTTTTAGTAGTTGTAATGGTGGTTAATTGATAGAAATTTGAAGTTTATTTTGCTATGTGATGGGATTTTAATTTTCAATATTTATATGATTTGCATTTATTATTGTGACTATAATTATTTTTTTCATAATTAATGTGATTGATTTACATCATTTATTAGGATTGCAATACATAATAGGAGTAGTTTTTATGTGTTTTTTTTTTTTTTTTTTTTTTTTTTTTTTTTTTTTTTTTTTTTGAGTGGGCTTTTCTTTCCCACCCTCCTGAATCTAATCTGTGTTGCTTTTTATACTTGATAAATCATGGGAAAGTTTGAATAACTTTTTGAGGAAACTTGGGCATTAACCTATAATCATGTTTTTTATTGAACAAATCACTGTAAATTGAACTTATACTGTATTTATTCTATTGATTTATTGATTTTATACAGGAAAGGCATGTATTTTCCGCTTTTAGTTTTCGAGATCAAACTTGGATTATTGTTACAAACCCCACAATATAATGTCATTTGCAGTTAAATGGTTGATCAGTTGAATACTACTTGCAGAACTTTGAAGTTTTTCCATAATCATACCAGTCAGGCTCATAATATGTGTCATCATTTCTTTCATCTCTTGTCTGTTGCTTTGTGGCATGATTTGCTTATGACTAATTGACAATACCTTTGTTCTTTGTACTCTCTGAGATTACCACCATCCTACCGCGACCAAGAGGAAGGCGGGGTGGAGGGGGTTGGGAAGGGGTGCTAGTTCACTAAGAAACTATTTACTTGATGAAAGTTCTTGGTAAACATCTGCTTTTACTTAGAAGTTAGAACTTACAGGCTCTTTTTTGTCACCATCTTTATCAGGCTTTGAGACAAGATCAACATCATTTACATGGATACAAATTCTGTTCATGATACAACTGATTCAGTTGCCGAAAATGATCTTGGTGGTAGCATTGAGGCAGTATCAATTGCTCAGGAGAAATCGGAGGATGCCTCATCTATTAAAGAGGTGAAACGAGAGGTTGGAAGTTCCATTATTAGGATCGAACTGGATATAGCTTGTTGTTCAGAGAAGCTGGTTAATTTGAACCAACTTATGATGCATGTATCAGCAAGGGAGAACGACTTTGAAGATTTTGCTTCAGCGAAGGATGAGGATACATTGGTTAATTCTGATGGGAGGGCACTGGAATTTGATATTTTATCTGGAATATTTGATTCAGAAGTCAGGGAGATGGCTATCTTCATTGGTAAAATAAAGTCAGAGATTAATAATACTTGCGAAGTAATTTCTTCATACAAACATCTAGGAGAAGGATTTTTGGCATTGGGAGAGAAGTTGCGTGATGTTGAAGAATCAATAAAGCAATTACAAGAACAGGTTTCAGAATTGATGGCACAATCTTCCAGTTTCCAGAAAATCTTATCAGGTGTCAACCAAGAGGAAATGTGTAAGAAACCCTTTCAATCTGACTAATTGCACTAGATTTCATGTTAAAGAAACTGTTATTTAACTTGTTCTTGTGGAAGGGAAATTTAGGTATTGGTGCCAGTATTGCAGGTCAAGCTTGACTTCTGCTATATATATGGTTAAGAAAAAGAACATGAAAGTAACACTTTGCATTGTCTTTATATTTCAATTGTGGTATTGGCTCGAAACATATTAAAGATGCCTCCAATGCTTTTGCATGATTTATTTTCTGATTCCTGTTTTGCTGACTGTGAAGATTATGAGCTATATGCTAGATGATAGTGGTTAGATCCTTGAGATTTTTTTCACTACATCTTACATGAGGACCTTGTCTTTGTTCTTTCTGATTGCAATCCTTCCCAGCTATCAACAATGTCTATGGTGTGTAACTTTGAAGCTTACTTTCTGAAAAAAGTTGTCCTGTGATTGTGTTTTTCTTGCCTATCAATTTATGGATCATGAATTCATGATAAACTTCTCGAATTCAAAAAAGAAAAACAATAAATTATGTTTCTGAGGTAGTAATGTATCATTAATGTTCACTTGTCCTTCTAGATGTTGTAATAAAGTTTTTAATGCAGCTGACGAAGACAAGGAAGATTCAGGGGATAGTGACTTTTTAAACACGATGGAAAAGCTAAAAATACAAACCTCGCAGACACATACACTGAGGATGCTGGAAAAATCTTTGGCAAGAGAACTTGAACTGGAGAACGAGCTAAAAGAATGTATGCAAGCTCGGGATGAGATGAAACTCAAGATTCGTTTTTCGCAACAGAAATTCTTGTCTGTCGAAGAAGAAACCACAGCTATCTATGCCCGTTTCTTGGAGGCTGACAGTGCTTCAGCTGTGCTCATGGGAATTTCAAAAGAGTTGATTGGTAAACTCCAGTCAAGCCAACTACACATAAATTGTGCACTTCGCAGAGAAAATGAAATGAACATTAAGTTTCAAGAATGCACAAAAACTGTTCAAAATCTAGAGAAAAAAGAGGCTGCTATGCAGGAACTTGCAGAAAAAAACAGATTGGAGGCCTTGTCATTGAAAGAGAAGGTGAATTTCTTGGAGGAGAAGTTAAAAGCTTCAGAATCTGCACTGGTAAATGGAAATGTTTCTTTGGATGGCAAGAGTGACCAGATTAAAGATTTGGAAAAGAAATTATCCATAGCTGAAAGCAGGGTTCTGAAGGTAGAAGCTGAATCAAATTTGCTAGAAGAAGCTAATAAAGAACTTAATGAGAAACTGGATTTTCTGAAAAGTAGTGGAGTCTCTGTTGAGAAGGTTAATTCACTGGAAAAGCAACTGAAGGAGACAGATATACAACTACAAGAGGCTATGGCATCAGTGGAAGCAAGTCAGGAGAAAGAAACCATGTTGTATACTTCAATTAATGACATGGAGATTTTAATTGATAAACTGAAGTCAAAAGTTTTAGAAGCAGATGCTAGGGCTGACAGTGCCGAAGATAAATGCATTATATTATCTGAAAGCCATGCAGAACAGAATGAAGAGCTGGTTTTCCTTAGGGGTAAATTAGAATGCTTGGAGGCATCTTTGCAACAAGCAGAAGAATCTAAACGAGCAATTGCAAAGGATATAAGTACTCGTAGCAAAGTGATAACAGATATGGTCATGCAGCTGGCTGTTGAAAGAGAACGCCTTCACAAACAGGTAATTTGTTGATTGTCTCATATAATTTATGAATGTTGGAATGTGCAAATTTTAGTTCTACTCTCTCGTCAGTTGTTATTTGCTTTGGGTTCACTGTGTAACAATCTTCAGTTTTCGAAACAGCTTCTGTTATTGAATATTGAGTCTTAGTGAAGTCAAATCAGTGGTATAGTGACATTTGCTGTTTTTCAAGTGTGTGGTATAAGATATGTTAGTATACATTATATTAAGTCTTTAAGAATTGGAATTCTGGAAAAGCGTGGCTTCAAATTTGTTTACCTTTCTATTTAGGTATGCGAGTTCTAAAATTTGTCATCGTTGTGATGACTGATGATATATTTTATGTGCTGTTTATCTTGAAACAGAATACATTGCATGATATGAGGCAACTTCAAGTTGCTATTGCACAAATTTGATGTACATAACCATAAAAAATTTGGTGTATTCCATGAATATGTCCAAGACATAATCTTCTAATTATGTTGTGTGCAGCTATCGCGGATAATGATGGAAAATAGAGCTCTTGTAGATAAATTACACGTGGCAAACAAAGTCTCGTCCAATTCTATGAATCATGAAGTTGGGGAAACTGAGGAAGAAGTTCTATCTTCTGCGCACCGTGTGTATTCTACCGATAATGGGAAAGAAAATAAAGAAGAATCTGATGCTGAAGAGGTATGAGTGGAATTGTCTTTGCAAATACCTCAATATAGTGATGAAGGTGACAAATATACTTCAGAAAATATCATTATAATGAAACGATAAGGGTGAAATGAAGATAATCATTGAAGGAATACAACATTATATAATGAGTTGCAGACTAATATTTGGTAGGTGTGGTCTCTATGTGGATCTAGCTTTGAAGTTTACCCCCTTTTAGAACCATGCAATCTTTTTGGGTTGGATTGGCTCTAGTAGTTTTGTTTTTTCTTTGTCAATAATTTACTGGGCTTTAATTTTTAATTAGACAAGAATTGAAGTTAATGTTTTGACACACTAATTTATTTATTTATTTTTTTTTTTTTTGGGGGGGGGGGGGTGGGTGGGAGATGAGTGGGTGGGTGGGGGGAGGGGGATTGTTAAGTATAGATGTACCTCAGACATACATACACGTATAGAGACTGGGGTGTCACTTTGCACTAAATTTGGGGCTTTTACCTTCATTTCGATATGGTGCTTATGATAACGCACTACTGATATATACTCAGTAGTTTTTTCTGTACAATCTCTAGGCACAAAAGTCTCCAGAGGATGTTTTGGACAGTGAATTCAAGTCGGAACCACAGAATTTGGATTTCAAGCTTGAAACGGTTAGGAGTATTGATGCAGGGCGGCTAAATGTCAAGTATGTAATTTCAGCAAGTCTCGTAGTGTTAGTTGCAATCTTGGCAGTGTGTTTTCTTAAAGCAGAAAATTGCCCATTTTAGCGAGGGACTTAGGCTTGGCTTTTTCAGTCAAGCCACTGTAATTTTTAGTTAATTTTGCAGCGGATAGTGCATCCTTAGATTACTACACAAGCTAGTTGAAAATCCAATACTCTTGAGTACATAGGTTATAGGTGGAATATTTTTTGCCAATACACTACTACCCATTTTTTTATATTGGAAAGAAGTTGAGAATCAACCTCCTTTTTGATACTCTGCTTGAAACTTTTCCATAGATTCATCATTAATGCACACAATTGTTTCATATGTAATTTTTCTCTTTTATTTTGGGTGAAAAAAGAAAAAAAAAATAGTGAGACTTTTCATCTTTCTTGATTTTGGAACTTGGTAACCATTAAATGTGTACCACGGATAATTCCAACTTCAGCTGTACTGAACGGTCTTTGCATTATTCCTAGCCTTTGAGTTGTGTCCAATTGTCTTCCTATCCAGCTCTATAAATTGATACTTCCCGAACATCGTCTCTTATAATCCTATTTCCATCCATAATGTTTGAAATCTGAAGAAATGTTTGCTGATTCGTAACAATGGTACAAAACATTGATGAGTATGATCCTGATGATGAGTTCCGACGTGAACTGCCACAGCATCTTATCACTGATGAAATCCTCACAAGACTTCCAGTCAAGTCTTTGCTCCGGTTTAAGTCTGTTTCTAAATTGTGGTATGCCACAATTTCGAGCTGTGAGTTTTCGTGGTCACACCTTGAACGCTATATGATGACAGGCGGTTATGTCTCGGCGCAGTGTATTCTTGCCAGCTTTTATCCGAATGACGAGAATCTTGCTCGGTTCTTAGAGAGCTATGGAGTTCAGGAGGATGAGAGGGGTGATCGAGTTTATATTTTTGGTTCGGTTGATGCTTTAGACGAGGAATCTGATACTGTTCGAGCTATGTACTTCCATATGGTGGGTTCTAGCAACGGTTTGGCGTGCTTTGCTGATCGTGATTATAGCTGTTTTAGGATTTGGAATCCTTGTACCGATGAATGTCATACCGTGGAGGATAGCCCGCTTACAGGTTACGATCGTGCAGAAATGCAAATTTGCACTGGATTTGGGTATGTATGGTCTGAAGATAACTACAAGATTGTAGTTGCTGCTCTTCGTAAGCATTCTGATGACTTGATTTTTGTTTATTCACTTCGGGCCAACGAATGGAAACAGAAATCGTGTTCACTCAGTGAATTGGGTGGATATAAACTATCTGCGTATGGAATTGAAGGAAGAGGGGTTCTGGTTAATGAGAAATTGCACTGGGTAGAAGAAACCACTGAGCACGCACCTTCTGAAGATGTGTTCATCGTCGTTTTTGGTTTGGATGATGAGGAATTCGAAACGGTGTTAGGGCCGTCAGATTTATTGCAATTGACTTATGTAACTTGGAAATTTCAATTATGTGAAATAGATGGGTTTTTGGGCATACATTCAACTATTATGCCAGATTGGGTTTGGATTCTCGTGGATTCTGAATGGGTTGATTATTCTGTGCCCATTGAAGACTTACTTCAGAATTCTTGGTTACTAATCATCTTCGGTTTTATCAGAGACGGAAGTTTTGATTGGATGTATTACAAATTCGACATGGAAATTTATCAGGATGCTATGTTTTACGTTGAGACTCTTGAGTCACCCTTATCAATCCTGAGAAAAGAATGCAGATGATAGTTTTCGTCAGGTTTGATCATTTTTCTGTTTACGAAATAAATGCGTTACATCTATTGCTTGGTGTAGACTTGTAGTTGTGTATCTTTCTTTGAATAATTCAGTTGTTTTGGAGCTGCAGTTTATGTAATGATGCTATTGTTAAGCGAGAATACAATATGATCATAATCATGGGTGCGTAGCTCGTCTTTATTATACTCCGGCGTACTTTGAGGGGAGTTTGTGCATTATTTAGGCCTTAAGGAGAAGGGGAGAAATAGATCATTAATTCGAATAATTGTATGAATTTTTTAAGTTCCTAGTTTTATTGTCTATAGATAAGTCATTGATTAGTGGAGAGTCACAAAAATAATGAACTGAAATCAAACATAATGAAAGAAGATAGATTTTAGAAAATGGGAAGCACGTAACATTGTTTAGTTGCAATTAAATAAATTAGTTTCTACTTGAGTTACTTGGTTAGGGGGTGATTTAAGGAGTTCGGTTAGGGATTATTTGAGTAATTCGGTCAAGGGTTACTCGATCAGGGGTAACTTGATCAGGGGTAACTCAAGTAACCCTTGACCGAGTAACCCCGACAACTCGAGTAATCCCTGACCGAGTAATCCCGGCAACTCGAGTAACCCCTGACCGAGTGACCCCGGCAACTCGAGTAATCCTTAACCGAGAAATTCGAATAATTCCGACAACTCGAGTAACCCTTGACTGAGTAACTCGAGCAATATAACACGAGATAGGATGAATAGATAGATAGTGGATTGTCTCAGGCAAAGAAAACAACCAATCAAATAAAATAAAGATAGATAACCGAAAATGGGAAGCACGTAACAATTAGTTGCAATTAATAAAATCATGAAACTTATTTGGAATTGGCCAATAAATGTGTGCTACCAAGTATATATTGTTTCAGAATCACAACTCATAGCTATGCATTGTGCTATCACAAAATAGGTTTGAAGATGAAGTGGTTACTCAATTATATAATTGCTCTCTATTTAGTAGTCTTAGCTTTCAAAGATGATGTACGTATTGAAGCTCGATTGCTCAACGGAAAAGGGCTCGTTAATGCTAATGTCCATGTACCTGGTCCGCCTGAACCACTAGGTGTACACGTTGAAGCCGGATTGCTCAACGGAAAAGTGCGCGTTAATGCCACTGTCGTTGTAGTTTCGAGTCCACCACAACAACCAACCCCATCTAGTCCGCCAAAGACAACAATCCCACCTAATAATGATGATGAACCTATTGTTAGAGGAGGAGGACAAATAGGGTCAGATTATTATGATTATGATGGATATTGATAGGCGGCTATCATTTAACATACTAGTAAGAAAAATATGCGAGTACATGAAAAAATAATAGGTTGTCATCATGTAACAAAAGTGGAGAAATTAATTTACAATTTTGATTACATTTTCTCACAAGTCAATGACTATTTAGGTATGGTCATAACACCTATATGTTCTTTATAAAATAACTATATATTCTTTATAAAATAGCTACATAATTCTTTCCGCATTTTTTGTCTGTACCAACAATGGTATAGGCTGCTGTACCTTAATTTTTTTTTAAAAATTTGGCAAAAATTTGGCCATGACCTGCTGACGTTGAAACACGAGACCACCACGTTAGATAGAGTAATATCTCCTTTGGAAGCAGTAATCTCTCTGTTGATCCCAAACAGTCAATCCTGATTCCTGAACTCCATATATTGATATATATATACGAAGTAATATTGTATATTATTTATCGATTGATCTTTACTCAGCTTGTTAATTGTTTCTTACCAGGTTAGGCGACTTAACACGTACCATCATGTGCTTCATATAAGTCCTTTACGGCATTAACACTACAACACTTAACATGTCAATTAGGATGTAATTAGTTTATGTCAATTTGATATCATACAGCAGGCAGAAGCTACCTTTTCTTTACTATGTAGTTGGGATATAAATACTTTTTATAGGATGTAATTAGTTTATGTCAATTTGATATCATACAAAAATATCAACTTGGAAATTAATAATTCAAAGTCATGCTGCTATAAAGTGATATATACTTCAATTCCATCTTAGATATCGAATTTAATCTATAAATGGATGTATGTATTAGTACTTGATCGATCACAAGCACGTAAACACAAGCTTATAACCATGTCCGCCTTCATATATTCCCTCGTATTAAGCCTATCTCTTTGCATCCTCATTACACCGTCGATTTGTGATCAAGTTTTCTCAGATTTTTCACCGTCTATGGCTCTTATGCTTAATAGACCTTTTCCGCCTTCAATATTTCTCTATGTCAATCTCGGTGACCATGATGATTACTCGGGTGAATACGATTCCTACTATCGCGTTGTAGGAGTAAATAGTGCACGTTACTCATTACTCTTTTATAAATTCCCCGAAAGTTCTGTTTATACCCTTGGTATAGGCAGTAACTTCCCATCTAAATGGGTTTGGGCTGCAAACCCGAATGACCCCGTTAGTGATGGAGCGGCTATTTACCTAGGGGAAGACGGCAATCTTGTACTAGTCGATGTTGATGACCGTGTTGTTTGGCAAACCAACACGGCCAACAAGGGTGTGGTCGGACTAAAGATGCTTGAGGATGGTAACATGGTATTATACGATGCCAATGACAATTTTATATGGCAAAGTTTTGATTACCCCTCGGATACATTGTTACCCAGCCAGTCTCTTAAGGCCGGGCTAACTACTAAGCTTGTAAGCCGTGCATCAAATACGAGTCATTTGGAAGGGAACTACACCCTAGAGATGAGCCCAAAAAACGTGTCTTTGTACTACAAAAGTCCAAATAGTCCAACACCACTTCCTTACTATCGAATTGATCAAAGTTTTGTACCGACATTTTCCAAGGAATTTAGATATGATGTATTTGTGAAAGATTTTGATAATCCTATTAGTTCCCAAACCATTCAATACACTACCACAAGTTCGCTATCTAGTTCAAGTCAAGAGCTTGTCAAAACATCATACGATAGCAGACTTTCCTTACTTCGACTAGAATATGATGGTAAGCTACGTGTCCATACTTTTGATCCTATGATTATTGGAGTGTGGTACGAAGAGTTCACTCTCTTCAAGGGAGAACCATTGTCGCGTAATCAATTAGGAGCAACTGAATGTCAAATGCCTGAAAAATGTGGTAATTTTGGAATTTGCTACAAAGGCGAGTGTGTTGCTTGTCCTTCCCCTAGAGGGCTCATGAGATGGAGTGAAGATTGCGCGCCACCAACCGTGGGAGGAAATAGTGGTGATGATACAGATGCTAAGTACTACAAGATGCGTGGGATTCGACATTTCAGTTGTATGTACACCGAAGGTGAGGGACCTATGAAACCAAGAAAATGCAAGATTAAGTGTAGCAATGATCCAAAGTGTGTGGGATTTTTCTATGATGTAGATAACTTAAGATGTTGGATTGTTTACGATCTCATGACTTTGACTAGAACAGATAATCCTAATCATTTAGGCTATGTCAAATTGTCTAACTAATAATTTAGTGAGGCCTATGAAGATTACTAATGGAGGGGATCATCAAGAACCTATTATACTTCCTCCGGTAACTATTATTTGCAACATATACTATAAATGGATGCTAACTATTATGTGCAACAAATATTTTCTTTCCTTTTTAAGTTATCATTTCTCTCTATCTCTCTCTTCATCACATGCATCCAACTTTTTCTCTCTTCATTTTACACTCACAAACAAATTAAATTTTGTCTAGGAGTCCGCAAACACCCCCTTGTTGCAAATAATAATTAACGGAGGAAGTATATTTAATGTCCAAAAACTTATCTTGTAGTGTGAAATAAAATAAATAATACTCGTAAAAGTTATACTTTGTAATTTTTTATCAGCGTCGGTTAACAAATACTCCCTCTGTTTCATAATGTTAGTCTCATATAGAATCAATCACATAAAATAAGAAAACAAATATATTTGGAATCTAACATTAAAGTACAACATAATTCATAATTAGTTTACCTTATTTAACTTTTTTTATTTTTTATTAGGAAATCACAACTCATAATTGCATAATTTAAGGTAAAAATTTTCTTAATTAGAGTCACGTCATCAAATCCACAATCAATTAATTCCAAAAAAATCAAGTTATAAATGAAATATATTCAATATTCTTTCAAAAAAAAAGAAATATATTCAATATGGGTATATCTTTTTGAAACGCCCAAAATAGTATATGGGACTAACATTATGAAACGCAGGGAGTATTAAATAATCACTCCTATATCTCATGCATCATCGCTTTTACCTTATTACCTTAATTTCTTGTAATTATGAAATACGTAGTTTTTTTTTTTTTTTTTGACAAAGAGAACATGAAAAACTAAAAACAAAAACAAAGTAAAATTCTACGCCTAGCTGCACCTGCAAGAGAATGAGCTTCACCAACCGAAGACCTGGAAACCTTACGAATATGACAAGAAGAAAAGGAATAAATAACATCCCTAATTTCCTGAATCGTCCAGATCAGCGAAATATCCGACGTAGCAGACTCTTGAATCATCTTAGGAACCGACATACAATCAGTAAGGAGGCAGAGGCTGACAATACCCTGTTGCCGAGCATGTTTAAGACCAAAAAGACATGCCAACAATTCAGAATGAAGAGCAGAACTAGCCATACAAGCTCGAGCTCCACCCCCAATACAACGAGAAGAAGACGGATCCAAAAAACACCAGCCCGTACCAGCACTATAATTCCCTCGATCCCAAGCCCCATCAAAACACATCAGAACATCACATAAAACAGAAGCTTCACCCCTTAACACCTGCCAAGTAGGATAAGACGAGAATCCAGGAGGAATAGCAGGACAACAAGCGGCCATTTCACGAGCCTTACCACTTCTAACACTCCAATCCAATGCAAGATCCAAAATACACTGGGGGGAATAGATTGCTGAACAAAATCGAACATTATTCCTAGTAATCCAGATAGCCCAACACATCCCAAAGAAACGATCCAAAGCAAGCCAATGCTTGGCAGAAGCATAATTAGTAATAATAGAAGTAAACCAAACAGAAAAAAGAACAGGAACCTCAGGCAAAGGAGATGAAGTAGAGGAAAGAGAATTCCACAAACGCCAAGTAAAAGGACATTCCCAAAAAAGATGAACCACAGATTCCGAAGAACCATAACAAAATACGCAAGTAGCATCAATCAGAATACGTAGTATATGTGGTAATTATTTGACATTACGCAAATAGAGGAGTTTTGTTGTTTTTCTTTCATTATATACCCTCATGGCCTCATCCAACTTTGTAATCTCAATATCGACACTAAAGATGTCAATTCAGGTAAATAGGTCGGGTTTGGGTCGGGTAAGAGTGAGTCGGGTCAACTCGGGTCGAGTCAATTCAGATTAATTCCATTACCTATGCGGGTCAGGTTTGGGTTGGGTCATGCTTGAGTCGGGTCACGTCGGTCATACTTCTTATTGGGTTTGGGTCGAGTTTAGGCCGGGTTAATAACATGTTGGATTACATTCGAGTTGGATGAACAATAGGTCGGGTTTAATTCGGGTTTTTACAGGTTAAAACGGGTTAGGGTAATTCTCAGGTTTGAGTCGGGTTCGCTTCAAGTCAATAATTTGCAGGTTAGAATCAGGTCGGGTCATTCTCGAGTTTGAGTCGGGTTTGATTCAAGTCAATAAATTGCAGATTATAATCAGGTCGGGTCAATATCAAGTCAGATCATTCTCGGGTTCAAGTCGGATTCGATTCAAGTCAATAATTTGCGGGTTATAATAAGGTTGGGTTATTTCCAAGTCATGTCATTCTCGGATTCAAGTCGGGTTATGTTTAAGTCAATAATTTGCAGGTTACAATCAGGTCGGGTCATTTCCAAGTCAGGTCATATTCGGGTTCAACTAACTATAAATAGATAATTATCATTTTTATCAAACTAATTACTTCCTTTGACTATAATATATATGGAAATATACTAGGGAATTGTAGTCTATAATTTATGAAGATAATTATCTTCTTTGACCATACAACAAATATATATTATATTTCACTCTTAAATTTGAGGATGATGCTCCTTTCTTTTGCTGGCCTGGACCTACTTGGTCTCCCAAGATAAAATGATTTGATCAACAATAATAGGGTGGTCTAAATTGCATTTAAGGTGATTTGAAATCGGTCAGATCAGGAACAATTTGGGTTGAATTTAGGTCGGGTCAATAACAAGTAATATTAATTTCGAGTAGGGATATTAACATATCGGGTGATTAATTTTTTGGGTAGGGTAAGTAATAAGTATGGTAAAATTCAGGTCGGGTCAATAACAAGTCGGGTTGAATTTGGGTTAGGTCAATAACAAGTCGGGTTGATTTCGGGTCGGGTTTGTAACAGGTTGGGATAAATTCGGGTCGGGTTAGGAACAGGTCGGGTTGAATTCAGGTCAGGTTAGTAAAAATTTGGGTTTTGACGGGTTAAAACGAGTTTGGGTCAATTTCGGTTCAAGTCGGATTCAGTGCAAGTTAATTAAATTGGTCATTGTAAGTCGGTAAATTGGCCGTTTAAAAGTAAATTGAATGGTTCCAGACGCCCAATTGGACTCTCGGAGGTTATAAGGGACCATGGTAAACATTTCGGCAATTTATTTCGGGCAAAAAAATGTCAAAAAATACCAAAATTGAAGGCTAATATCCACGCTTTTTGAGAAATTTTGGAAGTTTCGGGGCCCGATGTCGAAAAGGCTTGAGATTTTAGGAGATACATCTCGGGGTAATATAATGTCGTTTGGAACCATAAATGATCATTATATGTTGTCATAAATGTTCGTGGTAGACTTAAATTAATGAAATCGGTGCAACTTAAAAAACCGGTCAATTGGCTGTTTAAAGGCAAATTGGATGGTTCCACCCACCCAATTGAACTCTCGAAGGGTATTAAGGACCATGGTAAACATTCCGTCAATTTTTATTTCCGGGCATAAAAAAAAGTCAAAAAATTCCAAAATTAAAGGCTAATATCCACGCTTTTTGAGAATTTTTGGAGGTTTCGAGGCCCGATGTCGAAAAGGCTAGAGATTTTAGGAGATACATCTTGGGGTAATATAATGTCGTTTGGAACCATATATGATCATTATATTTTGTCATAAATGTTTGTGGTAGACTTAAATTAATGAAATCAGTGCAAGTTAAAAACCGGTAAATTGGTCGTTTAAAGACAAATTGGATGGTTCCACCCACCCAATTGGACTCTCAGAGGGAATTAGAGACCATGGTAAACATTTCGTCAATTTTTATTTTCGGGCGAAAAAAAGTCAAAAAATTCCAAAATTAAAAGCTAATATCCACGCTTTTTGAGAAATTTTGGAGATTTCTGGGCCCGGTGTCGGAAAAGGCTAGTAATTTAAGGAGATACATCTCGGTGTTATATAATGCCGTTTGGAACCATATATTATCATTATATGTTGTCATAAATGTTTGTGGTAGACTTGAGTTACGGTGCAAGTTAAAAACCGGTAAATTAGTCGTTTAAAGGCAAATTGGATGGTTCCAACCACCCAATTGGACTCTCGAAGGGTATAAAGGACCATGGTAAACATTTCGTCAATTTTTATTTCCAGACGAAAAAAAGTCAAAAAAATTCCAAAATTGAAGACTAATAATATCCACGCTTTTTGAGAAATTTTGGAGGTTTCAGGCACTGGTGTCGAAAAGGCTTGAGATTTTAGGAGATATATCTTAGGGTCAAATAATGTCGTTTGGAAGCATATATGATCATTATATGTTGTCATAAATGTTCGTGGTAGACTTAAATTAATGAAATTAGTGCAAGTTAAAACCGGAAAATTGGTCGTTTAAAGGAAAATTGGATGGTTCCACTCACCCAATTGGACTCTCGGGGAGTATTAGGGACCATGGTAAACATTTCGTCAATTTTTATTTCCGGGCGAAAAAAAAGTCAAAAAATTCCAAAATTAAAGGCTAATATCCACGTTTTTTGAGAAATTTTGGAAGTTTTCGGGGACCAATGTCGAAAAAGGCTTGAGATTTTAGGAGATACATCTCGGGGTCATATAATGTCTTTTGGAACCATATATGATCATTATATGTTGTCATAAATGTTCGTGGTAGACTTAAATTAATGAAATCGGTGCAAGTTAAAAATCAGTCAATTGGCCGTTTAAAGGCATATTGGATGGTTCCACCCACACAATTGGACTCTCGGAGGGTATTAGGGACCATGGTAAACATTTCGTCAATTTTTTTTTTCGGGCGAAAAAAAGTCAAAAAATCCCAAAATTGAAGGCTATATCCACACTTTTTGAGAAATTTTGGATGTTTCGGGGCCCGAAATAAAAAAAAAGGCTTGAGATTTTAGGAGATACATCTCGGTGTTATATAATGTCGTTTGGAACCATATATGATCATTATATGTTGTCATTAATGTTTGTGGTAGACTTGAGTTAATGAAATTGGTGCAAGTTAAAAACCGGTAAATTGGTTGTTTAAAGGAAAATCGGATGGTTCCACCCACCCAATTAGACTCTCGGAGGGTTATAGAGACCATGGTAAACATTTCGTCAGTTTTTATTTCCGTGCGAAAAAAGTCAAAAAAATTCAAAAATTGAAGGCTAATATCCACGCTTTTTGAGAAATTTTGGATGTTTTGGGGCCCA